TTGTTTGCCAAATAACCCTGTGTATGTGTGTCTGCCCCCGACCCCTGGAAAAAAGTTCAGGCTCAGGATTTTTTTCTTTTCTTTAACCCCTGCATTAGGAGGCAGAGCATTTTCTCTTCATTTTCGCTGGCTTATTATCCCATATAAAATGCTAAATATTAGTTTCATATTGTCTACAAATGATTCGTTGTGTAAAGGAAGTATTAATAAAACAAAAAAATAAACAGACATAATAAAAGAATAAAGTAATTTAAAGAGTAATTAAAGAGTAATATTTTATATTAAAAAAGACGACTTAATTTCCATGGTAAAAAAAACATATATATTCTTGTCTATTTAATTGAGTTTGTACTTTTATTTTGTAAGATCTGTCACGCCATCTGAAATATGAATCCTCCCAGCAATGGAGAGGTGAAACTGACTACTGGGCATGATGCTGTGTGCTGCTACCCATGCTCACTCACTTAAACTCTGTCCTGTAAATTCTTGACTGTTGTTTATGGCTATATTAACCCTCATACACAACTGCAATTTTGTATTTGTTTTCATATATATGCCATTTGTTACCATTTGTTATCCTTGCACTGTTAAGCAATCTAATAACACTGCACTGACTACCTTGCATCGCATATACCTCATCATGAAGACAGTACTAATTTACTGCTGTTTTCCTATGCTATCATTTTATACTTGATTTTTGTTACTTGGGGTTTTCCTTAATATTAATATTTACATTATAATTGATTGTTAATACCTGATATTTTGATATGTGATATTGTGTTTGTTTGTATTCTCTCTATTCTAAGCTACAGATAGTATAAACATAGTGGGCAGTCATGGCTTAATGGTTAGAGAGTCAGACTTTTGCATTTCCCGTTAAAATCCTCCAATTCTTTGCAATGTAAAAACAAGTGTAAAAATCCTTCATCATCATCATTGCAAACTTTACGAGTAGAACTTGGTTCCATTCCAATTTTGTTTAAAATAACATCTGTAAAAATCACTTTGTGTCTGATAAAATATTCTGAGTTTTCCAATTTTGTCTGTACAAATTTCCCATTCATGTTCCCCCATATGCCGAATTCTTTTAAATCATTGAATTTCTGTAAGCAATATTCATTTACAACAGGTTTCTTAAAAACAGCATCTCTAAAAACACAATAAAACTTTTTCACAGTACATTCATTGAAAGCATACAGTTTTTCCCCCAGCCCCACATACATATCTTTTTTCCTTATTTCCCTTCTCCCATGTTTTCAATTCTCTTTATCCACTCTTGAGTTATAGTATTCTTAATGAGATCATATTTGTTTGATATCTCTTGTCTGCTATAATCCTCCTTTGCCTCCTCCATCACATCCACAATGTATTGCACTGGTAAAAACCCCTCTTTGAATTCGTATAAAACATCTCTGACTTTCGTGATTCCCACATCCCACCATTTCTTAAAAAAATCTCCTTCCCTTGATTTAAAATGCAGTTGTTTAAGAATGCCTTTAAAATGTTCTCTCTACCTTGTGACTTAAAATGCGCATTAGTTAAGAAATTTGCCCCATGCACCCATCAGCCCCTCCGTCATCTAATTTTTTGTTTTCATCCATAAAATGTTGTCCCCTGAATTAAAATTACTACACTTACTTAAAAAATACCCCATTGTTCTCTTCCATGCCGCTTTGTTTTCTTCATCCAAGTACTTTTTTATTATTTTCACTCTCAAACTGTTCTCTCTTTGTTCCACATCTATTAACCCCAGTCCTCCCTTCCCCACTGCTCCTATTAAAGTGTTGTATGCTATTCTTGGCGGTTTCCCTTCCCATAAGAAATATAAAAAAAAAATGTCAGCCTTTTTTCTACCCACAACGGCATAGATGACACATGACTTTCGTGATTCCCACATCCCACCATTTCTTAAAAAAATCTCCTTCCCTTGATTTAAAATGCAGTTGTTTAAGAATAATGCCTTTAAAATGTTCTCTCTACCTTGTGACTTAAAATGCGCATTAGTTAAGAAATTTGCCCCATGCACCCATCAGCCCCTCCGTCATCTAATTTTTTGTTTTCATCCATAAAATGTTGTCCCCTGAATTAAAATTACTACACTTACTTAAAAAATACCCCATTGTTCTCTTCCATGCCGCTTTGTTTTCTTCATCCAAGTACTTTTTTATTATTTTCACTCTCAAACTGTTCTCTCTTTGTTCCACATCTATTAACCCCAGTCCTCCCTTCCCCACTGCTCCTATTAAAGTGTTGTATGCTATTCTTGGCGGTTTCCCTTCCCATAAGAAATATAAAAAAAAAAATTTCAGCCTTTTTTCTATCCACAACAGCATAGATGACACATATAAAATATACCACAATTTAGAAATCATTAAAACATTAAGAACTAAAACCTTCCCTTTCAAAGTTAATGTTCTCAGTTTCCAAAAAGTCAGTCTTCTTTCAATCCCTCCTAAAGCTTCCTCCCACATAGTTTCT